AAAAGAAGCATTTTACGATGGTCAGAGTAAAAATAGATTCCAGCGGTGCAACACAAACAGTAACAGAAATATTTACTCCTTTGTGTGCATGTTTGCTTGTTTTCATACACTTCCAGGACAAAAATGCTCTGAACTTTGTAGGAAAACCAGAGAAAAACAGGTAACCTAGAATATCAGGACTGTGAAACTGACCCTGACTTTATAACATGGTTTTTATAAGAGATATGTGTTTAAATTTTTTTAATCGAAAGGGTAACATTTATTTTTTGGTTCCTGAGGTGAAGGTTATGGTTATGAAAAATATGGCTTATGAAGGTTATGGCTTAGAAAATTTCACTTATTACACATAGATACTTACACTTTAGGTCTGTAGACACCTGCTCATCCAGGATTTTTTCTAAAATGAATGGTATTAATAGTGAGTTTGTCCCTCTTTGCTGCAGCAACAGCCTCTACTCTTCTGGGAAGGCTTTACACTTGATGTTGGAACATTGCTGTGAGAATTTAATTGTGCATTAGTGAGGTCAGGTACTGGATCACTCCAACTCATCCCAAAGGTATTGGATGGAGATCATTCAAGCGAACCCAGTTCAACTGCTCCACAGCCCAATGCTAGGAAGCTTTATACCCCTCTAGCTGACGCTTGGCATTAAGCATCATGAACTTAGGCTCATGTGCAGCTGCTCCAGAGTATCCCATTCTATTGGTCAGTGCTGTTATTTAGATTAAAACTGTGTGTGTGCAACTGAGCACCTGTATTAGCACCTTAAAGTAGCTCAGTTTACTAATGACAGTGGGTGCCTGGATACTTTTGCACATGTAGTGCATCATAGCAAAACCTTGTATCTCCAAAATGTGATTTTGCATGAGAATTTGAACAGCTTATGTCAATATTTCCAAGATGACGTTAAGATGCTTGGTAAAGTCAGTGACTGATCTAAAGCTGATCTAAGCTGTTCATAAAGTTTTGTTTTCTACATATTTTCTGTGCTAGTGCATGTGTGAAGTGCCTGTGTAGGTATTCTTCAAATAAAGTGAAACCAAACATACTCAACCTCGATCTATGTTAATGTAATGAGATTTTATTTCGACTGATTTTCAACCACTTGAACTGATGCAACCCTATTCTGTTGGCCCAACACATAAAACACAGTATAACATTAGAATAAATATAAATAAAAATGAATACGAATTAATTAGAAGAACACAGTTAGAAGAGCACAGATTGGGTTCCTGATTTCTCACTGCACTCCGGTCATGACATGGATTTGTTAAATTCCATCAGCAGCACCTGATTTCATTTAATGAAGGACTGATTAGATAAACTAGGTATTGGATGGTATCTGTAAGTACTGGGCTTCCACTAGGAGAGCTTTGGAAATAGTTAAACTCACATACACAAATAAAACCATAATATTGTTTATTGGTTTATTTTATGTATTCAAATGTGTGCGTCTTATGTTGAACATATAAACACTTACTACCCAGAAAAGAAACGTCCTGTCCGAATCTGACCTGACGTGACCCACAGCATCAAGTTTTCAGTCAGACCTGACCCGAGTCCAGCAAAATTCTGGCCCAAACTGGCCCGAACCAGCCCGTCATCACCTAAAGTACTGAATATAACCTTATGTATTTAACAATAGCATCAGCTAAATGACCATGTAGCGTCAACAGTTGTCATCATTACATCACAGATAAAGAAAATAAAAAACAATGCAAAACAATTATATAATAGAATTAAGTTTAAATCCTACCTTAATGAATGTATTCATCCAGCAGTGCTTTCCAACAATACAATTTCTTTTTTTTTTCCTGGAAAATCTTCCATACCGCACTATTCTCACACTGTGCGGTGCTGGTATAGCGAGACATTAACTTCCCCTGTTTAATCCTTGAAGTCTTTTTATACATAAAACATATTACATATTACATAAAAATATGTTTTTGGCCAAACAAAGTATAAATGTAATTTGGGCTCCCCTAACTTGAACTCTGTGGAATCGATTCACATTCCATTTACTTCACATCCATTTTCTCCTGAGCATGTTGCCAGATTGAAACCTGTTTTAAGTAATGAAAGAATGGAAGAAGAAGAAGAAAGTAAGGAGTAAAACTTGCCTTCTGTGTAGTGCTGTGTATATATAATCCGTATGGGACATAGATGTGGCCTCACATCCTGACACTGTATAAAAACAAACATGGGTGTGTGTTCAGTGCTTAGCACCTCAGGAAGTTGCCTCTCTCTTTGGTTTTGATGACTGGATGCCTTGGTTTTCATTTGGAGAGCCTTTTTCAGAATGATTTTCATAAGCAGTGGCGTGCTCGAGCACACAATCACCCTCTCTCCTCCAGACACAATACCCCAGTCTAGGATTAGATGGGGCTTTGAAGCATAGAATAGAGGGCATTGTGGAGTGAGTGAAAGCTTGTTTCCTGATGGGAGGAAGAGAAAGGAGGGGAGAAAGGCAGAAAATAGAGAGAACTGTCAGATGACTTTAGAATGCCTTGAGAGTCCAGTCAGCCCTCCACCTCCTGTGGAGAAGCAGTGTGATTGACGTTGGCGCGTGTGTGGGTGGCTGACAGAGTTTGTGTGGTTTTTGTGAGCGTTTATGCGTATCTGCCTCCTGAGTGCACTGTGTATGGACTCACCTCAGTCCAGCAGCCTCTGCTGTAACATCCAGGCCTCCTCAAGTGAATAAATACGACACCTGGTCATGTGGGCCTTCGTGTTATTTTATTGAACTGCAGTCATCCCCCTGTTCTCTCACATATTCTTTCACATATTATATATTCTTTCACATATTAGATAGATAGATAGATAGACAGACAGACAGGTAGATAGATAGGTAGATATACAGATAGATCGCTTTATTGATCCCAGAGGGAAAGTCGTCTATTCCAGCAACATAAAGTACAGTAAAGAGCAAAACTATTGCTGTGTGCTATTAATACAGATGCATACATAGAATAAGTAAAGATATATAATAATATACCAAAACAACCATAAAATATAATGTGCAGTATAAAAATAAGTAAGTAAAATCACATAAATATTATGCAGTTGACAATGCAGTGGTGCATGTCATGTCCAGTGAACAGACCGAGCGACTAACCACTGTAAACGTAACGAATGTTAATTGTTGTATATGTATGGGTATATAAACAAGGCAGTGCAATATGCAGTATTTATGGGTGTATAAATAAAGTGGCGTTGCACTGTGCCATATGTATGGATGTATAAAAATAAAAAAGTACTTGTAACTACAAAATCACGTTTCTGAACAAGAAGAAACTAAAAAGGAATGAAGAGATAAAAACTAAGTAAGAAATAAACGTAGTAAAAAAGACTAAAAGGAAAGCAGCAGACCTAATACACGTTAGAAACAACGTCTCTCAGGACGGAGCCACTCCAATCTTGGAAACATACAGAAGCAGACTTTGTGTGTCTGATGAATCATCAGTGAAACCAGTCAGGGGTTTTGGAGCTTTGGAGTGGCAACTCTTGAAAAATGCTGCAGGAAGGAGTTGGAGATGTTTGCTGCCTTTTTTTGAGATGTTTGCTGCCCTTTACAAATTCATAGACAGAGTACTGTCCAGATTCAGCTTTATCACATTACAGAAAAACCTGAAAACATATATAGCATGACTCTACTGTAATGGAAATACTTAATTTTGTTCTTTCTGAACTGTCGTTCGTTTCTTTTCAGTCTTTGCAGTCCATTCCTCCTCTTTGGGGTAGTTGTAGACCTGTAACTAAGTTAGTGGATTTACATTATATGTGAAGAGAACGCTTTAGTGCTACTGAATTTCAAAATTTGCTATGTAGAGCTCATCTGACTCAATGTGCTGTACGCCTGTTTTGTGCAAACATACTCCTTATTACATATAAAGCTTTGCATGGTCTGACATATAGTTTATTCATCTATATGTGCCATCCCGTACTTTAAGATCGCAAAATGTAGGCCTTCTTCATGTTCCAAGGTTTAAATTGGGTGGTCGATCATTTAGTTTAGTAGCTCCCAAATTATGGACTACCCCCCCAGTCTATTCGGGATGCCACCACTCTATCCTCATTTAAAACTCTGTTAAAGACTTGTTTTTGCTATGTTATTGTTGTTCCATTTACACTTGAATGTTTACCTGTATTGTCCTTTTGTTGTTTGTTGCTTAATGTTCTTTGATTGTAGAGCAGCCTTGAGCATGGGAAAGGCGCTATGTACATAAAAGCGATGATGATGATGATCATGATACACATTTGCGCATACAGTGCACAAAATATGTCTTTTTAAAACCTGGCTTTCTGCACGAATGGCTCTTAAAATGTCATCATGTTTTGATCAAGTCAAAATAATAAATAAAGACAATCCTGTTCAACAGCTCACATAGCATTTTACATTGCCATGTCTTGATTGAACAAATTGTGTAAACAATAACTATACTATACTATACTAACAATACTTGAACCCTTTGTATTTAATACTAGTGGAACCTCTTTTATTGGCAAAAACTTCAACTAACGCTTAAAAATAGTATTTTACTTTCTCAAAATAATTACTTATGTTGTAATAATCATATATTTGATAAGTAATAATGCCTTTTTGTCTAATTGTCAAAATCTTGAGAAAATAAGTCATTGTTGCAGCCTAACTAGTTAGAATTTGAGCTTGAAACAGAATAATTAATGAACTTTAATGAATAATGTTCATATAAAAAGTGTTTATATTGCGCTTTGTGTTATTTATGAAGTTGAGCCTGTTTTCATTTGTGTAGAAGCTCTTAGTAGATTACCCACCCCCACCAGCCCAAAGTGCTGATAGACTGTAAACAGTAATTAGTGCCTCTTTTAATAAATGTGCCCCTTTTTTTAAAAGTATGGTTTGTAAGAATAAGACTGAACGTTTGGTGAAATATCTGAAGTCTTGTGGATTAATGGCTGAATTCTTATTACAGTATCACATCCTTGTAGACTTACCTGTGTTCCTCCCTCTTCTCCTCAGCTCCCGAGGTGCTTGCTCAGAAGCCTTACAGTAAAGCTGTTGACTGCTGGTCAATTGGAGTAATTGCCTACATCCTGTGAGTACCTGCATTTTAATCTTGTATTTCCTACATGGTTTAAGTTTAAACAATCAAAACACATGACTCATTTGAGTAAGACCATCATATAAACCCTCAAACAACATCTTGAAAACGTTCAGACTCTTAAAAATCAGATGCTCCTGAACACTTCGGCTAGCTGGGCCAGGTGAGTTAGCCTGGATTTAAGACTAAACATTTGAAGGTTGATGGATCTCCAGAAAGTGCAAACACTGGGCCCTGAGCATCACTATTCTTAGATGTGCTGATCAGTTACAGATGTTACTTTCCATGTGGCTTAATCTCCTTATATGGTATTTATATTTTGGGGCTCTTGTAATGTTTCTGTGTCTGACTCATTAAAGCAGGGATTTAGTGTCCCCTCACAGAATGAGATGTGTTTCGCAATTGTGTCTGAGGATGAGGAATCATTTCGTATCAGATCATCTCTTGCTTGTTTCCAGCCTCTGCTCCCCATGTCTGTTTCTCCTCCTCGTTTTATTGCTACTGCATCTCAGTTCCTGCTATATATATATATATATATATACATGAACTGACCAGCCACATCATTAAGTGTTCATTGTCCATTTTATCAGCTCCACTTACTATATAGGTGCACTTTGTAGTTCTACAATTACAGACTGTAGTCCATCTGTTTCTCTGCATACTTTGTTAGCCCCCTTTTACCCTGTTCTTTAATGATCAGGACCCTCACAGGACCACCACAGAGCAGGTGTTATGTGGGTGGTGGGTCATTCTCAGCACTGGAGTGACACTGACATGGTGGTGGCTTCTTAGTGTGTGTTGCGCTGGTCTGAGTGGATCAGACACAGCAGTGCTGCTGGAGTTGTTAAACACCTCAATGTCACTGCTGGACTGAGAATAGTACACCAACCAAAAATATCCAGCCAACAGCGTCCTGTGGGCAGCATCCTGTGACCACTGATGAAAGACTAGAGGACAAATGACACAAACTGTGCAGCAGCAGATGAGCTATCGTCTCTGACTTTACATCTACAAGGTGGACCAACAAGGTAGGAGTGTCTAATAGAGTGGATAGTGAGTGGACACTGTATTTAAAAACTCCAGCAGCACTGCTGTTTCTGATCCACTTGCACCAGCACAACTCACACAAATGCAGAGAATCAGATGGACTGCAGTCTGTAATTGTGTATGTATTGTTTTTTGTTTTTGTTTTTTTTTTTCCCAAAGTAAAACCTTTTAATAAGCTTTCTAACACTAGCCTGGTAAAACAATGCTAAATGTTGTTTCACAGCTGAATTTCCTCAAGGCTGAAGTTGGCTTTGATTGGTCTGGTTTTTGTTCAAATAATCCATTCCACCTGAAATAGATCAGCATTTACATTCTGGCACCTGTACAGGCACCAGAATGTGACTGCTGCACCATTAAAGGTGGAATTTTGAACAAGAAACCTCATTGAATTTCTCAGGTCTTTTTTCTCATACATGTGTCCCATACACTCACACTTCTGACCATCGGACACTGCAGGAATTTTACAGTTAGACAGCTGTCAATACTAGATGGTCCACGACTTATTTGTGCACAAGAGCCCAAGACTGTGGCCTGAAGCAGCTGATTGATCAAGTGGTTTATCGAGCGGTATGAGAGAAAGTGTGATAGTCAGTCTGGTGTCCATTAGGCTAATGCTAACCCCAAAAGGCCAGTCATTCCTTTATGTCTCCTGCCTCGAAAACAAGGTGGACTACTTCAGATGTAACAGGCTAGATAGGAGGAGGTGATTGAGGGGTCTACTGTGTTTTCAATTTAATTTGAAACATGACTCAAACATCGAAGACTCAGCTGTTCGTGCTACTGTTAACATGATTTTCACTGCTTGTATGTTGTGTTATCAGAGCCAGTTTATGAGGAGCCTGGCCACTTCCTATTTCTCCCCGCACCCGCAGGCGAGACCTCAATGAATGGAAGTAAATGGAGCTCAACGGCTAAAAACGAAAAGTTAAAATAGTTTCTGATCACTTATACAGAACTTTAATTTTAGAAAGCAGAAGGATGTATTTCACTAAAAAAACAAAGAAAACTGACCTGTATGTTTCCTTTTTTACAGCAAACGGGTTTTGGGCAGCAGAACGCTGGCATTACTGCTAGTGAGTGCTGATTGGTTGGCGAGCATAGCAGCTCATTGGCTGTTCGTGCTCACTGACGTCATGAGGCGCCATTTTAAACTCCCATAAGTTTAAAAAGCTCTCAGAAATGTAACGGCAGTGTTAAAATGTTTTATGCTATTCAGTGTTCAGGAAATGACTGCATTCTTTTTCATTAAAAATGTTTAAGAATTTATAAACTGCTGAAATGCTCCATATTAATCCCTTCATTTTGGACTTGCTCGGGAGCGCCCTCTAGTGTTTGAGAAACCCGGAAGACATTACAGAGTGGTAATTCTCCTCTCTGGAAGTTCTCTGGCATTATCTGTGCGTGTTTGTGGCATACCGGTATAAAGGTTATGACAACACTTATACCAGAGGAAGGATTTAAATCGGTATGTTGGGTGAACCGCAATATTGCCCAAGGTTTAGGTTAGTATTTGGCTACAGCATCACTCAGAACAGTGAAAAAACCTTGTTAAGGTAGTAATATGAGTGCATGTGTATAAATACACTCTACACTGTTCTCCCTTTCATCACTGCTACACTGTTCTTTCTTTCTCCTCCCAGACAGCTTACATAAAACTGTCTGCATGGGTCTCATTTATCTGTGCTGCAGAGTGTTTGTGTAGCTACTTGAACATTTTCTCAACAAACTGGTGAATCAGTAGGTCAAGAGTTTCAGAGGCGGCCTCACTCCCCTCCCCCTGTTCTGACTCACAGCTTTATGGACTCAAGTAATTCTTTTCCTAACCTCCTGTTTAGACTTTTTACCTTTGAAGATGGTGTGTGCTGGAGCAGGAGTGTGCCATTGCTTGAAATGTCTGTTCACTGTTCAACAGTAAACCACTATTCTCTGTTCACTGTGCACTGTTAACTGTTCAAAAGTTTAGAATAGAGATTTCCAATAATATAAAACCAATGTTGTTGCAGATACCTGTATAAAATGATTCAAGTGCAGAGGTCTTTAATTAAAATTCAATGAGGTCCAGTTAGAGAAAATTTCCTCAAGCAAAGGTCCGGAACATCATAATGTCTAACTTGCATCATGATTCAGTGCCATATACTGTTTACTGAAGTAGCCTAGTAAGTATATCAACACCTTATGTAGTCGACAACTGAATATCAAATCAAATTAAGTAAAATTCAGTCATATTTCAACAATATTTGTTGTCAGTTTTCTCTTTTTAGAGCACGGCATGTGAAATAACTTCCCTCTGACTCACTTTCTTCTCCGACTGCTGTGTCTCGCCTCGTCCCTCCCCTTTATGTGCATCGCAGTGCTCATCGTAATGCACAGATCTGATTAGCTGAGTAGCGTCACATGTGATATTCACAGCGTATGCGATTGGTATGTGAGTCTCCCGGGCCGCTAAAGCTACCGTAAAGGCTAGAAAAGTTATGCTGATTAAAATAGGACCACCCCGTTGAAATGAAATCATTCTCCATAGTTTATCGGTTATAGGTCCAGGTCCAGTTATAGGACAGCGTCTGGGTTTTATTATTGTTATTCATGCCTACTGATAATGCGTGTAAACTAGCCTTTGTACTTGTACACTCATATAAACCTTTGTCTTTGAACTGAAGGAAATGACATTTTCCAAAAAAAATGAAGTAATAAACATTATAATAATGTTTATTTTGTTTTAATAATAGCACATGTTAATGGTTTTCTGGTTTACCACCAGACCTGGTAAACTGAAGCAGCCTGGCCATGACTCAAAATTGACGATTTTCAGTATTTGTGAAAGGGGTACTGACCGTGGCATTGCACCATGTCGCTTGGGATGTTCTTTATGACACTGTACCCTGCCCACTCTTTCTTAAAAGCATGTCAGAATACAAAATCCTTTGTTGTTGATTTTGTCGCATGACAGATAAAGAAACCAGAGTTCACAGACTAGAGCTTGACCCTAGAGGATTATAAAACAGAATTATTCTTTTTAAAAGTTAATCTACATATTATGGTTGAAGGGTGGGACATTTTTAAGCTTTAAGAGGCTTGAAAGCCTAAAATGTATTTAATATTGATGCACTGAAATATGCTTACATAAAAGAGGAATTTGAGAATTAGAATAATGTGATTATATGTCATGTATTTATTACATTATTTAATTAAAAAACAGACATAAAAATACTTAGCACTGTGCAGCTTCACACGTTTTCAAGCTGTACAAATTATGCTGCAAAAAAGTCATTTTATATGTGTCCAAAATGATGAACAGTTCATACTGTTCATAAGGTTACATGAGATCTGCCTAGTTGTGTCATGACAGCTGACATAACCCTACATAAATGTTTATAAATGCTTATTCCAAAAGGCATCATCTGTCATGATGGCTACTTTAGCTAACTTTGATCAAAATTGTCAAATGTAACCTTTATAGTGATTGATGCTCAGTGGAATAAGCGTTTATAAACATTTATGTAAGTGTCATGTAGCCTTGTGAACAGTAGCCAACAGTCACGTGTTACTGCTGTATATTATTGAGAATGACGTTATAATAAACTTTACACCCAGAATGCATCATATTTTAGAATTGGTGAGCAATCTTGAAGCAGATAAGTTGTTAAAAAAAGATCAGAAATAGATCGTTTCAGTTTATTATTTATTATTTAATAGCACGTTGAATAAAGTATGATATTGAATAAAACTTGGTGTCTAGTTTACAATATTTAAATCTACCATTAATATGACAAGAGATTAGAAACTTCCAGCAGTAGCATAAATCAGCTCAGTGTGTTTTTGTCTACGTGGTGTTTATCAGTACACTGAGGTAGAGATGTGTTGAGCTGTATGGTGCCAGCGTTCCTCCCTTTAACCAGCGTCTCTGAATCGAGCCCCAGCCAGTTCGGCTTGCCCTCGAAGCCCGATCTCACGGCTGATTGGCCTCCTCTCAGGTGTAAAGATTGCATTGGCATTCGGGCACAACCAGCACTAATTCTCTTAGCGACCGTGTAGCTAACCTGACATCAAGAAAGGAAAACACAAAGCTAATCGGGCCGAAATCAGGCAGAAAATTGCCAGCCTTCTCCTCCCCTGCGCCACCGTCAGCATGCATACCCATGGGGAAAGGCATTTTAACGACTTTGATGATTAGCAGAGGGGGAAAAAAGTATTCCACAAAATGTATTTTTGAAATCTATTCAAGCTCTTTGCTCAGGCTTAATCAGCTTAATCAGCTGTCTTCTTTCCCAGCAGGCTATGGGCGCCTCAGCTACTTAAATGACTGTTTATTTTGGATCTTATATTTACAGTGTGATGCAAAGTGTATTGACTGTAAAATTACCATGAGATGCAGTAGTAACAATAACACTGAGCAGCATCAGTTTCTGCTTCCCTTCCAAACTACAGATTTGAAATGATGGCTTAGGCAAAAACAATGTTTGCAGAAACATCCAGAGATAATCTGAAACCACTGTATGGTTTGAAGATGTACAGCATTTTTCTTCTTTGCTTGTACATTCCATATGATAACTCATTACTGCCACTGTGGGAGAGAACTTGACTGGAGTATGAAAACAACCTTGTGTCAAGAATCATGAGATTTTGCTCCAGCATCCATATAGAAAAAAATTACATACATTTAAAAATGTATAAAGGATATGATGTGCATTTTTGCATCTGCAAGAATCTACTTACTGTGCTGATATATTTATAATATAATTATTAAGCAAGATCATCAATTTTGCCACCCAGAAAATGTCAGATGGTGCAACCACACGTATATTAAAAAAACTATTTTTTTTAGTTGATTACAGTTACTGAAAATGCATTTAAGGGGGCAGTCTTGGGGGCTGGAGGTTAGGGAACCAGCCTTGTGACTGGAAGGTTGCCAGTTCGATCCCCTGAGCCGACAGTACGTGACTGAGGTGCCCTTGAGCAAGGCACCTAACCCCCAACTGCTCCCCGAGTGCTGTGGATAGGGCTGCCCACCGCTCCGGGCAAGTGTGCTCACTGCCCCCTAGTGTGTGTGTTCACTAGTGTGTATGTGGTGTTTCACTGCACGTATGGGTTAAATGCGGAGGTGAAATTTCCCTGTTGTGGGACTTAATTGATCTTAATTTAAACTTGTCTTTGTACTTGGACACTCATATCATTTTTTTCCCTTGCACTGAAGGTTATGCCTTTTTTTCAGATAAATAAAATGATAAACATTAAAATGACAAACATTATTGTAATAATAACACATGTTCATGGTTTTACTGAGGTCGCATAATGTCTGTTCATGATGTCTTGTGCCGTGTGACATTTGAGTAAATCAGAATTTAGGAGCAAACGTTTTGCAATTAGTTGAACATGTTAAAAGCTGCCCTATTTTGCAAAATGTTATGGTTTTAAATGTTTCAAACACAATTTCAAACTGCTTTGTTTAGAATATTGTATGACTAAATTGACTTTTCTAAGTAGTAATCTACCTATATGGTTGGACGGTCGCACCACCTGACAGTTTTAGACTTTGGGAGGCATAAATGAATTTTATTTTAAAGCGCTGAAAATGTATTCACATAAAAGAGGCATTTAACTGTGATATGTATTTATTAAGTTATTTGAAAGGAAAAGGAAAAAAGGCACGTCATGTCAGTGACACTGCTTCATTAGTGATGGGCAATATGGCAAAAGTGTAACATCACAAAACTTCAGGACATTATCATGTTTTGGATCATAGTAGTTAGTGTTGTGGAGGTTTGAGGTTTCTGAGTTATTTGAGTTTTTTGATGAGGAACAGGTAAAAAAGAACCAGCAGTGCCACGTTTAAAAATGTAAATAAAAACTATGAATACACGGATTTTTATGTAATGTTTTATACACTGCGCTGCGGTAAGTCAGTATAAACAGGACTAATTATGCTGTCTTTGGAGTGAAACATGCATGGAGTTCTTTAAGTAAGACCATATCCACGACATGGTCACAAAACCACATCGTCCCCTTGGAGTTATAAGGTTCTCTCTGAGTTCTGAGCAGTTTTGAGATACTGAGCTTCGAAGATTTTGCATTCCAATTAGTTAAACTGCTATGTGGAACGCATCTCTTCCATACATGAGAATGACTGACACCCTGAGTATTTTCTAAATGTATGATATCAGAATCCTATCAGATTTGTAAATGAGTTCTTTTGGAACAGATCTAATGCAGATAGAACCTTCTAATCATCAGAGCTCACTTTCTGCCTGGAATTATAAGGTTCTATCTGGTGAAACATGAAAAGAAGCTTTGATTTTCAAGAAACACAAACAATTTACTCGTAATTTGTTTTAAAACAGGATGGGTTCCCCTTTTGAGTCTTGGTTCTTCTTAGGGTTTCCTCCTCCTTTTGCTCTTAGGGAGTTTTTGCTTGAGACTGTCGCCATTGGCGACGCTCATGGGGGCTCGGACCTGGATTTTTCTGTAAAGCTGCTTTGTGACAACACCTGTTGTAAAAAGCACTACATAAATAATCTTGGCCTTGACTTGAACATAAAATTAGTGTTGTAACAGAGAGTCTACATGTATCAGAAAGCTAAATGTAATGCTTTATATGACATTTTTGGCATTTATTTTATTATTTATTTATTTATTATGACATTTCTTGTTTTATCATCTTTTTCTTATTTAAAAACCCTTGCAGATTAAGTATAAAGGTCAGTGCTAAATATTTTGGAAGAGACCATTACTTCAGTTTTCCTTTAGGTAAGACAGCAACCAGCTAGTGTGAGGTTTTGTTTTAGATCAGACATGTGACTCTAACATACAAAAACATCTTATATTGCAAGAAAGAAGAAAAAGAAAAGAGGGATGAATGAATAAAATTATTGTTTGTTGTAATTAAGACCCCATCAATTCAAATGTTATTACTATTTAATTACCTTAAAGCTGTATATTTATAAAACATAAGACAGTAAGACTTTTTAAAGAACTGCAAGAAGACAGGAAGAGTTTCAGCAACATGTTTCATGTTTCGTATTGTTTTATAAACTTTTCCTGCAGTCACTGAGCAGAACGGTGACATGACAAAGAAGAAGAACCTGACTGGTCCTTTTGTGTGTATTCGAAGTGCTGATTGGCTCACAGATAGAACCTCATAGAACTAAGTTAGAGTTTGACTTTGGTAATGGAATCTTTTTATTTTCTAGATAAAGAGTCCAAAAATGCATACAACTCAGAAAAACATCTCGCATAATGTTAAGAAGTTGTCACAGAATAATGTGTGAATAACAAAAATGTCAGAAATATCAGAACCTTATGATTCCAAGGGGGCGATATTGCGAAGTAGTGTGATGTGATTTGTCATAATAACCTCTCTGTTTTTATCTTTCATTTTCAGCCTTTGCCACCTGCTGTATTAAAGATGACTGGTCTCCTGATTTCTTCTCTTTTAGGTTGTGTGGTTACCCTCCATTCTACGATGAAAATGACTCCAAACTCTTTGAGCAGATCTTAAAAGCTGACTATGAGTTTGATGCACCTTACTGGGATGATATCTCTGACTCAGGTAATTTGTGTGGATGGTATTTGTTTTGTTACTTAGTGAGTGAATGATTGTGCCAGTACTTGTGTTGCTCTCTGGCTTGCCATAGCTTGTCCCAGCCTATATAAATTCACACCGCTGGAATCTACAGAGGTGATCTGGGTCATAATGGTATGGAATTCATCCATAAATAGCTGTTAAACCTGCCGCACACACATGGACAAACATGCACTCACAGTTATCCATGAGTAACCTTGTGGTCTGCCAGTAAGAGTGGAAAAATGTAAGCAAGGTTTTACAGTAAATTGTTTCTGACCACTCACTCTGGCATTCGACAAACACTCCAGGCTCTGGCGTTTCACATCTGACACCTGTTTTAAGTTTCAGCACTTTCAGGTTTTCCAGAAATGGGTGCACGTCAGTCTGTTTCAGTAATGCAGGGGTTTCTGGTGTAAATATAGACTAGAACTGCTAGTTTAATAGCTAACACAAAAATAATTTTAAACTAAGCAGGCAAAAGCAATATTAAATCTAAATTAGAGTCTTTCATGACTGCACACCAGAACCTTTTGGTGCAAAAATGTTAATCAATCTAAAAATATTCATAAACAAGTGCCTCTGCTTGGTTTAATTTACTAAAGAGCTAATGAACCGCTCTTTGATGGCTGTTTGAAGTGGCTGAGCTGTGAAATAAAGTGTCGCACTCTTAGGTTTGAGGTGTTTGTGTTTGTTTTCTCCAGCCAAGGACTTCATCAGCAGTCTGATGGAGAAGGACCCTGCTAAACGCTTTACCTGTGAGCAGGCCCTCCGCCACCCATGGTGAGTCTGATTCTGTGACCCCTGCCCTGGGTGTGAAGCCACGATCGTGCCTAGTTACTGTTGCTATGTCCGTCAAACTTTCAGCATAGGCCACTAGCATCTGTAGCACCGTGATAACTGATAGACTAAAAGGTTCAGTAGCACAGAAGTACATCTTAAACATCTTAGTAAACATTTTATTGTTCAGAATGAAGCTGTATTTATAAGATTTTCAGTGGAGAAACGCTTGAAAATTGACAAAATCTGAATGAAGGCGAATTTACAGCTTAATTACAATCAAACCAAACAAATCCTTCAGTTAAAGCACTTAAAAATCAAAGATTTTCAGATCTACAGTTTGGGCACCCCTGGTCAAATAACTAGTTTTGTGAAAAATAAGTTAAAACATCCTCTACAGAGAATACACTCCTGCACGTTTTAAAGCATATTGGAAAAACAACAATAAGGCATAAAATGTGGCCTGTGCCAAAGTTATGGCACCTTTTAAACTTAGCAAATAACTAGAAATTGGGCACTAAAATTTGCGTTAAAAAAAACGTGACGGGGTAGCAACTGGAGTCAGATGAGCTCACGGTAAAGTTACCACTGGAGCTAAATTTATCTTAACATTGTTCTGTAATGTTATTTATCTTGGACATTATATTAAGATGCGTTGGCAAATAATACAAAATAATAGAAAAATAATACTTACATGTTTGTCTTCTGGGTTATTCTCAAAGGCCATGACTCTTCCAGTTCTCAGCCTAACTCATCAGCTTATGTTATCCTAACCAGTGCTGGGGTGGGTAAACAGGAGAGTCGGGAGAATTCCCAGTGGGCCGGTAGCATTCCGCCCTGATTACTGTGAGCTAATGTATAAATTCAGGCGTATAAACAGAAGAATGATCAAACTGTAAATGTTACATCCAAATGTATTTCTGTAGTGATTAATTAAGTTTTAAGACAGTGGACAGAGATTAGATAAATTAGCTTCATTTCCCGTTCCACCTTAAATGATCAGAAGCATGTATAGGTGCTAGTGTGCATCTGCTGCACTATTTAAGGTGGAACAGAAAATAAGAAGCTAACTTCACCCTCGAAACATTAGTGTATCAAATTTAGCATGACTGTGTGATTCTGGCCACTGTATGTGTGGAGCTTGGGGTGGCCTGGTCTGCATCGTGTAACTCAAGGTCTGAAATCAAGCCCACTCTGGCGCTTATCTTAATTCACCTTTGAATCACCGTTAGCCAAGCTGATATGTCAGTCATGACACAGGGCATAAGAAATCTGACACGTTGCAGCTACACAATCAACACTTTCAACTGCTTTTTTACTTGATAGCATGGCGTCTGTCACAGTGGAACTGTGTTGTGTTTGCTTAGCAGATACATGCTAAGTAATCTAAGTAATTTAAGCTATAAGCAGCCCTTTCCATTACTACATCCTCCTTTTGATCTTTCACTCCAGGGCACAAGGAAATCTCCTTAATACTAACCTGTCTAATCACAGTGAGGCTAATTTTCCATTAGATATTCCAGAATGTAATTGTCGATTAGCATGGCCTTTAGAGACCCACTTAAGGAGCCTTTAGGGGAGTCTTAGAGATGTTTAGACAGGAATAAATGGACAGACGAAGAGAATGCAGTGGATGAAGATGTGGTGCAGGAAGACATAATAAGTAGTGGTCACTCTCTGGTACTGTGAATATTTAACAAGAGGGTTTTTTTTTCTAAGCTGGTATTGTCTGTCCACTGATTGCTCCCTGAATAAGTTATGTACTTTCCTGAACTCCCTGGTTTTACTTGGTGAATTTTATGCCTGCAGCAAAAATAGCGAGGATGTACAAAGTGAAACTCCTACTGATGCTAATTAGACTGGACTTACTCTTCACATTTTGAGTTTTTTTTACACTGTGTAAATGTGTTTTTCAGGATTGCTGGAGACACTGCTCTCTGCAAGAACATCCACGAGTCCGTCAGTCGTCAAATGCGTAAAAACTTTGCGAAAAGCAAGTGGAGGGTGAGTTTGGTCTGTGAACAGACATCATGGAATTAGTCAGGGGTTTAAATACATGCTACATCTTTCTCACACTCTCTTCTCCCTGCGCACAACAGCAAGCCTTCAATGCCACGGCAGTGGTGAGGCACATGAGACGGCTTCAGTTGGGCAGCAGTATGGGCAGCAGCATGGACGCTGGTCACACGGGCAGTGCCGCCCAGAACCGAGGGCAGGCAGCAAAGCTGACAGCAAGTCCATCACCAAACCAAACCCAAACCCCAACCCCAGCTTCAACCGTCAACCAAAACCAGAAACCTGTTCAGAGCCAGAACCAGTATCACATTAACAACATGTCTACAGAGTCGCCCCCTATACCACGAAAAGACTGTAAGTGAGAGGTTTATGGGAAACTTTTGGTGTGAATTTGAATGTTTTTACGTTTTAAAAAATTAATTAAAAAAAATTGGGTTCCTAAAAAATTTGTTTGTAAAACCTTTATTTTATGTGGAAGGTTCTGTAAACTTTAAAAAGGTTCTTCACAAAAGAAGTTTAAAATTTAACCATTGAAAGGTTCTAAAGGGCAAGGGTTCCCAACCTTAGTAACAGCATGGACCAAACCGCAGTCCACAGCGGTTTTGGCGGGACTTATGTGGTTAGCCTGTGTTTTGCTGCTGTTGAGAAATGTTTTGTCTACAAATGATGAAGAAACTAAACAGCTTCACAGCTTCATTCACTAGCTTCTCATTTGTGTACCACACGCAGTAGTTTTGGTGTGAAACCAAAACTATGTGAAACCATATATTTAATGTAGCTGTCTTCATGTTTTTCAGCAGAATGATGCTTTTTTTCTTCTTCGCTTTCATTCTTGTCATCAGTATTTTTTTCCTAGGTTTGCAGCCCAAATAAAAAGTTTGTTAGTGTTGTTTCTTCATTTTTGACTTCTTTACTTAGCCATCAGCTGCTAGCAGGCAACAGCAACCTACACACATGCACAAGGCCATACAAAGATGTAATGTAGGCCGATATGATAAAAAATATAGATTTGATATTAATTGCATTAACAATATTAAAAAATAGTGGATTTCAGCAGTGCATTACTCAACTCCCCCCAGCATTGTTGTGGCCCGGTATTAAATAATCCATGGCTCAGTAATGGTCTGCAGCCTGGTGGTTGGGTGGTGGGGAACCTCTGCTTTAGTGAACCAAAAACAGATTCTGCTCTGGCATCACTCTAAAGAACCCCTTTTTCATTATATAGTTGGGTTATTATAATATTATTTATATAGTTGGATTTAAACCATGGGTGCTTATTGCTCTGTCATGCATGCAAACTTGGCGAAATTTGCTGTTTCAAACGCTGAATATACCGTTCACATGAATTGTGTAGATTGAATGAGTTTTGGGAAATGGGGATTCTGAGAAAGAACTCGGCAGCGGCATTTCACACTCATTATTCAGCCAAATATAGTATTTCCTTTTTATCAGCCAATCAGAGCCAAGATAATGGTACTGAAAAGAGAGCCACATTTCGTGAGCAGGAAAGTTGGTTTTATTTTTGCATATTCAGATTTCTTTCTTCAGTAGCTTTTGAATTGAGCGATATGTGCAAATTATCATCATTAGTAACGTTGACAGTCCGCTTACATTTAGTTTGCATCTGAAATTGAAGCAGAACATGTTAATTTCTGTGAACTGTGACTCCTGTGAGAGCTAAACGACCGTCTACAAGGGGTGTCCCAATCTTACCCACAAAGGGCCGGTGTGGCTGCAGGTTTTCATTACAGCAAAGCAGCAGCTCACATGATCAGCAGTGTGAAAACTGAAACCAGATAAAGCAAGTGGAATCAGGTGCACTCCAGGTCATTTTGAGCAAAGACCTGCAGCCATACTGACCCTTTGTGGATAAGGTTGGACACCCCTGGTCTACAAATTACATCACAAGCGGTGACCATAGGGGTCCAAGCACAACATGCATGATGGAGTCAGTAGAACACAGATAATGGGTAAAGTTTTTAGAATGAGTTTTTAAGAATAATAGAGGTGAGGTCTCAAAAGATGTCTGCCAGATTTCATACATGCCTTTGGGCATGACTTGTATTTGCATGGAATTTTAGTAGAAGTTTCATGTTAAAATCACAGCAATCTTCTCCTAGGAACAGTGCCGCCAAACCTACCTGGTCTCTGAACTTGTCGGACCTTTTTCACTGCTTATGATTTTTCATGTCTGTTTATGGTCTGGTAATAAAAACTCAAGCAATGAACAAGAGATTATTAGCCTTTTAGAAGGGAAATGTAAACTTAGTTAGAGTTATGAATGTTTGGAAAGACATTTAGATGCTTTCTGCTCTTTTCCAGGCACAGCTCCTCCCCACACTTCCTGTTCTCTGGCATCCGCAGCTTCTTCCCAGGCTCCAGGGGCAGAGCCCTGCAGGCCACACCCCTCTTCAGTTGCTTCGGTGAGCACTGTGTTAACTGGGACCAAGTGACGCCAGGTCCTGCGGGGAGAGAGCTGGGAGGCCACTGCCCTTTAAGACCCGCCCCTCAGCCCGCCCCCCGCCCTGCCGTTAGGACAGGCAGAGGACTCACCCGCCCACCAAATCGCCATAATAACCACTGAGAGACTCAATGCCGCACGCCGCTCAATGCACACCACAACCCGTCCTGCCATTCGACCTCCAAGGCCACCAGGGGGCGCAACGCATGTGGAGGCAGGACGAGCAGGTGTAGCTGGAGATCTTTTGAAGACGTGGTCAGACGGGACTGAGAACGAAGCGTGTTATGAATGTGCTACGAATCACAGCAGCCATTTTACCCTTCAGAAAGGACTCCGAACGAACTTCAGAGGAATGCGTGAGGTGGAGTGTGTCTGCCTTCAGCACCAGGCAGAATTAATGTCAAACTGCTGTTCTTACATCTTTAGCTCTTCCCACCTTTCCCTCCATTTTCTCTCTTTTTCCTCTCCACCCCTCTCGGCACTTCCTATAGAATGTTGTTCGACTTGACTCTGAGGGGTTTTGCATCTTTATTTCCAGAGTTTCTAGTCTTTCAATTATTTGTCTTGCTGACCTGCAGAAGTGCTTTATAAATCATGTTAGACTGTTTTGAGCCATTATCTGGGTCTGAGTTTAATGTGTTTGCACATGGGAGCTCCGCAGCCGCTGGCTGAGTAACTGTGGCCCTGCAGTGTTTGATGGAGAGATAAGATTGTTAAGGGTTTATAACCTCACCTTTGGGTCATCAAGTCAGCTCATCTATTAAAACACGCAATACGTTCTGTTTTCCTTCTAAAACCGTGACAGTACAGTGCAAATGACGTGAGGTATGCTTCTGGAATCTTTCCCTCAAGTATGACTTTTTTTAATGTAGTACTCCCAAACAGTGATTACTGAAAATGGTAGAACTGTTACACACTTTGACACACACAAACTCACAATTATATCCAAACACACACTCACGCACAGGCAAATCCCTTGAAAAGCCATTGCAGCATCTCTTCAAACCCAGTGTACGAGTTCTCAGGGAATTCCACAGCTGCACTGGGCATTAGGTTCATATCCATAGCAGCCCTTCCATTGCCTCGGGACAGGACAGCCAGGCCTGAGCCCTTGATGGAAAATAGAAAATAGATTTTACAATAAATTAGATCTTCTTCATCACTGTCCACCAATGTACCAAGCTGTGTCAGTTAACTCTATCAGAGGTCCCAAGTCAGGCTAATTGTAATGATTGTATAACATTTTGCTGTGGCCAGTGGGCACATATCATGTAAATATGTCAAGAAGCTACAGAGAGTATAGCATAAATGAAAACAGACGTGTATCTAGTACAAATTCAGACGGGTTGGACTTCACCTTAAAGCTAAGGGCTAAGTTATGGCTTAACCGCTTCCTTAGAGAAGGCTTTTAGAGAGACCTGTGACTTTATGCTCTGGATGAATGTGTTATAGTGTGTGGGTTTCATTCTCAGTAACTGATTCTGAGTTTCTAGCCTAGCCTCCTGCAGCCTTTATACCGTATTGCTATTGCAGGAGCGGATTCACGTGCAGAGAAAGAAGGGCGTGTCACGTTCTCCTAAGTGCCATCGGAATCTTCATGCAATTTCCATCAATGTCTTTTATGAATGTCTTTTCCATAATGTAGTCGAAGTCACTGTCAAACCACTGTAACACCATTTTTATCTTTGTCTCCATTTGCTATTGAAAGATGTTCGAGCTTCTTGGCAGCTTCTGTCATGGCTACAGCTCATTCATGTTGTCAATGTCAATGAAAATGCTAAGTCGTTACGCTCATCAGAGATTTCAGAAGTTCCCGTGTGTGCAGTCAGCTGAGAGTAAACCTGTAGCACCCAGTGATGACCGTTTATCTGTGCATTACTGTTGAGTGTTTTTATATTGTCGGTTAGCCAGAGACAAACATGGAGCTCTCCAAGTCTGTCTCGGTCTATGTTTCTACTACGGTATTTGTGTATATGTGTGCGTGTCTGTCTAAATGTGGAAATGTGGAGTGATTGATGTGTAATTAACACCTGTCAAAAAGTCCATCCAGGCTTCGGCCCTTAGAACATGGAGAGAGCATAATCGTCCTCGCTCTCTTTGGGTGGGTAGAGTGTCTCTCCTTCTCCCCCTCATCACTCATGATGCTGTCTGACATAGGCGTCTATTAGGTCACGTAACAGAATTGGAAGTTAGCATTTTCCTCTAAACACATTGAGCTGTCTTGTGGCGCTGCGTTAAAGATGAGGTGACGCTTCACATGACTTGGATAGAGCACCTGTTAGCCTAGTTTCGAGGGCCCTGTGTGATCTCGTAAGAAATTTTGAGCGTAAAATTTCCAAACCAATCCAGTGTCTCAAGCCCCAGGCAGAGATCCAAGGATGGAGTAATGGTGCACTCGTCAATATTTCAATTATTTGTCTTTCTGACCTGCAGAAGTGCTTTATAAATCATGTTAGACTGTTTTGAGCCATTATCTGGGTTTGAGTTTAATGTGTTTGCATATGGGAGCTCCGCAGCTGCTGGCTGAGTAACTGTGGTCCTGCAGTGATGGAGAGATAAGATTGTTAAAGGTTTGTAACCTCACCTTTGGGTCATCAAGTCAGCTCATCTATTAAAACATGCAATACGTTCTGTTTTCCTTCTAAAACCGTAACAGTACAGTGCAAATGAAGTGAGTCATATATTGTCTGATGGACTAGCCTGCCGTCAGCCCACGGATGTTATGTTAGTATGGCTGTTTGTGTAGATCATAGCTGTGTCCCAATTCAGGGGCGTGTTCTTCAAAGGCTGCGTAGACCCGCAAAGGCTGAACCGAAATAAGATGGTCTGCTCTACTGCTCTATGGCTCCGCTGCATCACGAAACGCCACTCCTGTCAAGTTCTTTTAAAGTTATTAAAAGATGTAGCCAGAAAGTTTGATTTTAGTTTTTTATAGTGCCCCTTATAAATCTGTGCGCCTTATAAATCTCTATCTGCTCCTTGCTGCCTAAAACAAAACAAAACAAAACGTTAGCATAGGTTTTGCTTTTTTAACAATTTGTTTCGTTAGCTGTGCAACCCAGTTTAATCCCAGTACTTACATTTAAAAGTGTCTCCTCAGTCACCATTCGCTCCTCTGCTGACGGCGCCAAGTTCTCGATCCCTCGCCGGCATACATTGAACCTCAGGATATGTTTGGGGGCGAAGGATCCACCCATTGGATCCTTCGTTGCCATGGAAAAGAAAGACACATTTCTCGGCCGTATATGAAGGAGGCTTCGAAATGGGACAGCCTAGTCGTGCTGCTGTGACGCAATCGGCCTTCAGATGCAGCCTCTGAAAGACGCAGCCCCTGAATTGGGACACAGCTCATATTACATTTTGCTGCAATCCAGCACCAAAACTTCAACAGAAGTCCCCAGACGTGTATTCCCATTACAAGGCCCAGCAGGACTAAGAGAGAGCGTAATTGACCTCTCTTTGGGTGACTAGGGTGGCCCTTCTTCCTTCCATCACTCAGCACGATACTAGTCAACATGGGCATCTGTTAGCTGAGATAACCGATTTGGCAGTTAACGTTCTCCTCCAAGCGTGTTGATGTTGCATTAGCAGCAGTTCAAAAAGATGCGCAGGCTGGCCTCTTGTGACTCAGAGGAAACACCTGCTAGCCCAGTCTTGCAGAGCTGGACGTTATCTTATAACGAGAACATCTGGGGACAACCATGAGAATGCCCAACGTCCAATACCTCAATCTCCATGGGGAGCTCCAAGTAGGGGGCGATAAACAGTGTACGACAGACAGCAAGCCTGTGGTTAGCCTATGGATGTAACACAAGTCCCCTCAAAAAGCTTCAATTAAGCATGCAGTTAGTGTTCTCCTCCAAGCATGTTGAACTGTCCAATGACGTTATGTTTGCAGCAGTTTAAAAACGTGGTGGAAGCATATGTTAGGCTTCACCGTGTGATAGGGGGGAGACCCAGCTACTGGGTGGAATTGGCCATGACTAAACTGGGGAGGAAAATCGGCTAAAATCAAATCCTAATGGCCATGGCGCATCTGAAAGGACGAAATGATGGTAAAAGAGTGCCATAAAATGTGATGCTGATTGGAATTTGTCCAGTTTTTCTAACAGTAGTGCACACAAACACCCACATTTTCATTAGCCATGATGGTCACACACACAACCCCAGCTCCACCACCACTCAGTGTGGATGATAGGATGAGAGCAATGTAGAGAACTGAGTTTATGCCTAATCTGTATTATTATTTCTTGTGTTTGCTTTTACTGTGGTCTTCTTGTGTGTTCATGTCCAGAGTTTTCACTCTGTTGGTCCAAAGGCTTTGTAAATAGACTGTGTACAGCAGGCTAATCGTTTTGTTGTTTCTGTGAGGAGAATGTGTACGTGTGTGTGTGTGTGTGTGTGTGTGTGTGTGTGTGTGTGTGTGAGAGAGAGAATTCATGCATGTGTATGTGGTCTTTGGAATGTTAAACCTATCAAACGTATGTTATCCTGTCCTAAAAACACTGCCTTTCTCTGGAGCTCTGCAGTGTACAGCACATGTATGTTTTAACAACTGTCTGATATTCAGTAACCATCTCTCTCGCTCTCTCTCTCTCTCTCTCTCTCTCTCTCTCTTTCTCTCTCTACCTCTCTCTCTACCTCTCTCTCTCCCTCTCCCTCTCTCTCTCTCTCCATCCTTCTACATCCTCTCCCTCTCTCTCACCATCTTTTTTTGCTCTCTATCCTTTTCTCGCTCTCTCTTTCTCTCTCTCCGTCTCTCTACCTCTCTCTCTCTCTCTCCCTCTCTCTCTCTCCATCCTACATCCTCTCCCTCTCTCTCATCTCTTTTTTTGCCCTCTATCCTTATCTTTCCTTTTTTCTCTCTCTCTTTCTCCCACTTTCTTTCCTTCTGTCCATCTCTCTATCCTTCATTCCTCCCTCCTCTTTCTCTCTCTCCACTCTTGCTGTCCCTTCATCTTTTGTATCCCTCTTACTTTCCATCACTATATACCTCTTCCTCACCCACCTCACTCTGTCTCTCGCTCACTCCGACTCTCTCTTTTCTCGCTATC